GTACGTCACCTCTCATTTCACTTACACGTCGTGTGTGTGTCCGTCCTCTTTGCCAGATGTGGCAGTGGGCGGCCCACTCCCTCCTCCCAGCTCAAGATCGACCTCCACTTGGACATCTCCAACTTGTACCGGAACTTCATCATCAATTTCAATCACCACGTGATGCTGCTCCTCTTCCTCATCGCTAACATCCCGAACCGTAGGCGTGGCAGCAGCGCTGTTGGCCTCTCCCGCTGTACATAATAGAGATCAGATAAAAAAGTCACACACAACATCCACACTATGTGAGCTGCCGAAGTTTGATGGAGTGTGCCTCGCCGTACCAAATGGTTGATTACGTGCGATGACAATGCCTCATCACTGGGGCGGGGGGTGGACGGGGCAGAGAAGGAATGGAAAGGGAAAGGGGGAAATCCCAACGCCTGAGTGCGGAAGTGATGTAGTGGACAGGGAAGGCTAGACATAATGGACCTGCCCATGTTGCATGGTGAAATTTTGCGAGATGTGCAGTGTAGCTGAAGTAGATTGGGAGCGCATACCTTTTTGCTTTAGCTCAGCATATGCTGCACCCCGACGGGCCCCACCCTGACGGAAAACGGTGGTGACGCGTCGTAGAGTCTCCTCATCGCTCCCATGATCCAGGGGGAACGCATATACCAATCCCCTGATAGCAGCTGGCTGTCCTCCCACGAGGGCATCAGGTCGGCCGGCCATGCGATCCTTCCCCCCTTGAAACTTTCCAGCGTACTTTTCCAGGCAGCCTTGCACTGCCTTCTCAGCCGTATCGCCATCCGCACCTGTACGTTGGGTGAATGAATGGTAAAGGGCACCATCTTGAGCATGGTGGAGCTCTGGATCACGTTTTCTGCAGTGGTAATTGCTAATAGACGAAACCAATGTTGGGAATTTGGCAACCCATGAGTAGATGGTCACTTACCGGCCTTCTTTGCTGCGGTCATAAGCGCCTCAGTTGCCCCTGGGCCAGCGTGTAACAGGAAGTACACAAGGTCTGAAAGCGTCGCCGTACGTCCCTCTCCCATCAAAGTGCTCAAGCCACAACGCAAGTAACAAATAGGGATCTGCATGTGCTTTGATATTGCTAGATTCCCCTGTTTTTTTGCTTTCACCAATTCCTTCACCCTCTTTGTCCATGACTCCACAGATATTTTCTTTGGATGCCCCATGAAGTGCCCTTCCCGTTACGAGTCCTGCGTAGTTTGGACAGCGGAGGGAATGGAGGGGGAAAGCAGGGCCTCAAATCCGCGCGGCGGAGATGGAATGGATTATACGAAATAGAAGGTGGACAGAGATCTTGTGATGGCGGGCTTGTAATTATGCGCGGTCACATCGACCATGTCAAGGCGGGCTCATGAAATAAGGCACAGGAGGGGCGGGCAGATGGGAGTGTTGGGGCATGCAGGGCTCCAAAAATAACCTATAGATCATGTGGCGTGGGAGGTGAGTCTACTTTGAGCTATGGAGGGGTGAGGAAGAAGTGTGGTGGATAAGATGGACCCATGGCAACGATGGGTGTGGGGACCAATAGAACGTCGTGCGACGTTTTCTACTATCGGAAAATGTGTCGATCACCCAGTAATGGAGGGATGATGTGAAGCCGGAATGGGAAGGGAGGGAAGGCAATAACAGGGAAGGAAAGGGCAGTAGGGAAACGGCATGGCAGTCGGGGAAGGGCAGTAACGGGGGGATGGATTGGCAGAGAGGGGGAAGTATGCAGCTCACTTGTGGTAGACCACGGCCTAGCCGTCTTGGGGTGCTATACACTCCCTCTCGTTGGGATAACAAGGGATGCCCAACGGGAAACGGGAAGCGTAGGGGCCGGAGACAAGGCTGTGGAAGAAAGCAAAAGGGTGGGGGAAAATGAAGGGGAGGAGTGGCGGAAGTGATAAGCCGCAGGAGGGGAAGTGAAGGGGAGCAGTGAGAGAAGTGATAAGCAGCAGGAGGGGAAATGAAGGGGAGGTGTGGGGGGAGTGATAAGCAGCAGGAGGGGAAGTGAGGGGGAGCAGTGGGGGGAGGGATAAGCAGCAGGAGGGGAAATGAAGGGGAGCAGTGGGAGACGTGATAAGCAGCAGGGGGGGAAATGAATGGGAGGCGTGGGGGAAGTGATAAGCAGCAAGTGGGGAAGTGAAGGGGAGCAGTGGGGGAAGTGATATGCAGCAGGAGGGGAAATGAAGGGGATGAGTGGGGGAAGTGATAAGCAGCAGGAGGGGAAATGAAGGGGAGGAGTGGGGGAAGTGATAAGCCGCAGGAGGGGAATTGAGGGGGAGCATTGGGGGAAGGGATAAGCAGCAGGAGGGGAAACGAAGGGGAGCAGTAGGGGAAGTGATAAGCAGCAGAGCAGGAGGGGAAATAAAGGGGAGGATTGGGGGAAGTGATAAGAAGCAGGAGGGGAAATGAAGGGGAGCAGTAGGGGAAGTGATAAGCAGCAGAGCAGGAGGGGAAATAAAGGGGAGGATTGGGGGAAGGGATAAGCAGCAGGAGGGGAAATGAAGGGGAGCAGTAGGGGAAGTGATAAGCAGCAGAGCAGGAGGGGAAATAAAGGGGAGGATTGGGGGAAGTGATAAGAAGCAGGAGGGGAAATGAAGGGGAGCAGTGGGGGAGGTGATAAGCAGCAAGAGGGGAAATGAAGGGGAGGAGTGGGGGGAGCGAAATGCAACAGGAGGGAAAATGAAGGGGAGGAGTGGGGGAGGTGATAAGCAGCAGAGCAGGAGGGGAAATGAAGGGGAGGAGTGGGGGAAGTAATAAGCAGCAGGAGGGGAATTGAGGGGGAGCAGTGGGGGAGGTGATAAGCAGCAGGAGGGGAAATGAAGGGGAGGAGTGGGGGGAGCGATAAGCAACAGGAGGGAAAATGAAGGGGTGGAGTGGGGGAGGTGATAAGCAGCAGGAGGGGAAATGAAGGGGAGGTGTGGGGGGAGTGATAAGCAGCAGGAGGGGAAATGAAGGGGAGCAGTGGGAGAAGTGATAAGCAGCAGGGGGGGAATAGAAGGGGAGCAGTGGGGGAGGTGATAAGCAGCAGGAGGGGAGGGGGAGCAGTTGTAATAAGGGATAAGCAGCAAGAGGGGTCATGAAGGGGAGCAGTGGGAGTAGTGATAAGCAGCAGGGGGGGGAAATGAGGGCTTGAAGGGGTAATATGAAGGGGATGCGCTAAGCGGGAAGGCGCGCAGCGGGTGCGGTGCTAAGCGGGAGAGGGTGTCGGCGACACGCGGGAACGGCGCGCAGGTGGCGAGGCGCTACGCGGGACAGGCGCGCAGCGGGTGCGGAGCTGAGCGGGGGAGGCGCGCAGCGGGTCACGCGCTGAGCGGGGGAGGCACGCAGCGGGTCAGGCGCTAAGCGGGGGAGGCGCGCAGCGAGTGATACTCTGCGCAGCATGGCGCGCAGAGGGCGAGGCGCTAAGCCTCGCGAGGCTCCATACCGGGAAACCAGAGCAGTGGGTGAGGCGCTAAGTGGGAAATGCCTACCGAGCGGGTGTAGAGAGTGGCGGCGTGGCGAACGGCGAATGGAACTGTGCGATTCGCTCGTCGACCCCTAATTATCAATCCCTGGGTGGAGATGCATCCCGTCGAGGCGCCCTTGACATGGCTTAGACGGGCCAAACGAAATTGCTGAACACGACGCGCTCGATGAATGCAGGGCCTTTCCGTCTTCGAGTCGGATTGATGCACGGCGCTACGGTGGAAGTAGCTGGCGGGCAAGTTAGATGGTCCTTTTCCGACCGTACAAGCCTATAATGTACCTAAACTCTTCTCACCCGTTCCGTAACTGGGCGGTTTTGATGCTCCGCATATTATGTTGCTGCGCCCCGGTTCCTCTATCTATGCGTAGCCTACGTTATTAGACGCTTAGCATGCTTCGGAATAGACGCGTGAGTGCAAGGTTGGGTGACGGGAGTTTTCCGTGTTAGGAACTCCTCAGGGGTGCAATTTTTCGCCAAGCCTCTCGCCAACCTCCGATGTTTCGCTCTGGCGAATTGTACCCTGGCTACTGTACAACCCTAAACAGTAGAAGCAAATATATAAAAAAGCTTTAAAAGCCAAAGCCCGAATTACTCAACGATAGTCAACTCGAGAAAGCGTAGGTTCGGAGGGGTGGGGACCAAAGGTTCGGAACTTTCGCGAAGGCTCTGGTTCACGAAACCCACCAACGAACATAAACGGCGTCGCAACAAAACTGACGTGGGGCAGCCCTCGCGAAACACCAATGCAACGTTATTGCCAAATTGCCAGCCTACCACTCAAACTGTCATCACTTATGCATGACTGCGCGCGCATAAGCTCCGTTTCCTGTCAGCTGTACGCCGCAGTTGGCGCGACAGCGAGTCTATTTTCCCCCCAACAACTTGAATCCGGCTATAAATCTCTTCTTTGAGGTTTCTAATTCCCGAAAGGTCGCGGCACTTGGAAAATATTCCAAAAATTGCGTGTTTCCCGCACAACAGTAATGAGTCACAGCGGGGAACAGCGGGAGAATATTGGAAGAAACTGAGCTTGATTCCGAAACCCGAATTACAAGCACGTAGGCAACGCTTCCCTTGCCTTGTGTGGTTGTATTTTCGAAGTCGTGCTGCGGGACTCGTTCTGGGCTTGTCGGAAATCGCACAAGTCAAAGTGGGGTAACCAAGTAGGTGCGGAACCCCCAACGTGGTTCGGCCAAAAAGGTGCGGGAGGCACAGTGTCACCAGTTTGCTTTTGGCTTTGTAATTCGGGCTTTGGGCTTTGGAGGTATGAAATTGTCATCACAATCTTGGATAACTATTACTGTTTTATTTTTAGCGTGTGCTTGATCGATCAGGCGCATACGCGATAGTGGCCAAGGTCTGGAAATACCTAGTCCGAACCTTTTTCAGCACCAAGCCTTGACGGACGCTGATTGGACCACCCGGCGATCGCGGTGCAGGGCTAGCCCGTCGCGCGCGACATTCGCTTCATCGCTCAACACACAGGTGAAAAAACGGAAACCGAACTGGACCGCTGCTATTGGCGAAAATGAGGAGGTACGGTCAATCCGAAGCGGAAGCGGGAGGTTTGCACCTCGACGACTTCGTTCTCCTCCCCTGCTTCGCTTCCCTTTTCCCCCCTTTCTTTTTCTGCTGTCCGCCATGGCTTGGAAAACGATTGGCTCAACGGAGCTTCATGAACGCGTCACACTGCATTATCATAGCTTTCTCGGATTAGCCAATCGTAGCTCGCCTCTCTTTTCTCGCCTAGAGCTTCTATTATTGAGTTGCGGCTAATAACGGGCTGGAGTTCAGAACTTCACGGGAGTTGCGGAGAATGACGATTTCTTATTCGATAACAATGCCAATCCGACTTACGCGCTCACCTGTCTTATTGTTGGTTCGATGCGCCTTGATTCACTTCCGAGTGAGAACTTGAATCATCGTTCGGCTGGCATACCGTCGCGGAATCTAGCTATGACCCTGGCCGTCGATCTCCACCTTCAGCCATACCGCTTGGCCTTTCCATCCCCAAGCCTCAGCGTGACTATAAATGAGGGTAATCCCAGCCCATAGAAACCCATTCAGTTTTTGCAGTCCGTTTTCCTATTTAGTAGAAGCAGTAACTTGCTCCTTCAATATCCAGTTAACCACACTCTAACTCATGGCCTTCAGTCGTGCTCGTTCCGTCCTACTATTCGGTAAGCGTTACCCCTGGCGTGAGACCGCATCGCCAATGCCAGCTCAATCCAAACTCATTGCTTGCCAGCTGTCAACCAGGCAGAGTAACCCGATCGCTAATTTCGCCTCTTGTCGTGTGTGTATTTCGCGCAGCGTTCCTTGCGGCGGCGCTAGTGACGGTTGCCTACGCCAAGAAGTCCAGAAAAGTCTCTCCCTATTCTTCCGGTCAGTTCGCAATTCCAAGTTTTGATTTCCAGAAACCTTTCCCCGGTATGAGCACCTTATCTACACCGTGAATTTCAATGTCACCCGAAGTTCCAATGGCGTGTGACTGTTCCAGCCTGATCTCACCCTCTCCCTTTCACTATCAATGTTTCGCCGCCAAGCTCCAACCTCACCTTCACCATCCCCTCCCACCCCCCCACCCTGGCCCCCCGCATACCCTCCCCCTCCGCCTTAATCTTTCCTTCTCTCCCCCTCTCCCCTCGGTTTTCCCTTCAACAGAGACCTTCCGCGCCAACCTGTTTGGCGAGCTCGAAGTTCCCCAGAATGACTCCGAAGCTGCCAGGAACGCCGTCGGCGACCCAGACGGATTGGCGATAATGAAACTGATTATCTACACGTGAGTCTTTCATGCCTAAATCCCCTGCTGCTCTGACAGAGAGGAGCCAATGGGTGCTCTGATGATATCAGATGTCTGCTTGTATAGTTGAAAGCTCAACTCTGTCATGTGATGCACACTAAGCCCCCTTGTGACATGTTCCTTCCGAGATTAACCCCCATTTCTCTGGTGGGTGGGTGATATGCAGGAAAAGAGGCCAAGCAGCGTGGCTCGAGTACAAAGTGAAGGCGTATGTCTTGCAGGACGATACCGTGCCTCCGACCATGACCCTTGTGCACAACGGAACAGAGGGATCCAACGGTCCCATTGTGTTGGATCTGCCGTGCAAATACCAAATCAGAGTGGAAAGGGGTGTGTGGGTTTGCCACGGCTTTCTTGGGAAGACTGTGGCGCAGCGGACAGCGTCGTTTGTGTCGACGCTCGAAGCGATTCGGAAGAATCCGAGTGGGTTCTATGGGAACATCAACACGGAGGCGCATCCTGATGGTGCAGCGCGTGGGCAGCTGGAAAAATATACCTTTAGAGTGGGTGACGTGACGAAGTTGATATAACTGTCCATTGAGTGGCAGAAAATACCAGAGAAGTTGGGGAAAAGGGGATTTGGGAAAGTCAGTGGGGGTGAGGGAAGTTGGGTACCGTAGTTGGGTGTGTGTTGATAAAGGTTCGCTGTGTTGGTTTTGTGTGTGTCATTATGTGATGGTAAGCTGTCGTAATGATACGGTATCGTATGACTAGTTGGATGCCTACTCCTGCTCTCCGTACACAGGTCATATCTGTCAAGAAAGCTAGGCAAAAGTTAGAAGCAGGAAAGAGGATTGCACTAGTAAGTAGTGCAGTACATATAGCAAACCCTAACAGGGTTGTACTCACTATAGAGTACCCCACTGCAGTCTAGACAATTATAATATTTAGAAAGCTTGCTTTCATGCGTTTGCAATGGCAACGTGCTTCGTTTCAAATGGGCATTACAACATTCTCGCCCGACTTTATATATAGTACCTACATTACAAGTTGGAACATGCAATTTTTGCTAGGGTGGGTGGGTGGGAAATAAGACCTTTGAAATTTCAAACGAAGACGTGGGTGGAGGCCAAATGGCCTCCACCCCCTGCTATATAGTTGGCGAAGAGCGTCTAGCACTTCGCCGTTGCCATTGCTGCATTACAAGTGTTAGAATCTAGCAGCAGGAATGAATGAACTAGCAGGATGCAGGAGTACAAGTAGTAAACCCTAATTGGGTTGTACCCCATATGGGCTACCCCACTACAGCCTAGACAATATGCAGCACATATAGTTTGACACACCCCCATAGGCAAAGTGGGGGAGAACAAGGGGTCACACGACCAGTCAAGAGAAACAAAACAAGCTCAGGGTGGATCCCAACGTCACCACACATTCTGAGCACAAGCAAAGGGCCACAAGGCCAGTTCACATGCAGAGATATACATGCAGCAATAACAGTACAGTGATGACTACCTAGCAAGAGCCAGCATGCAGGTGTATATATATAAATCACAGTACAAGCAGAGACTACAGCAAGTGCGGAAACGTAGGCACAAGGCCCAACAGAGTACAAAAGCGCTGATGATCACCAGACGGAAGTGCCTTGGTGAATATATCAGCAGTGTTGGCCCGAGTGGCCACGTGACGAAGACGAAGCTGGCCTCGCTGCTGCAACTCTCGAGCCAGGAAGTAACGCAGAGCAATGTGCTTCGTCCTGTGCTCCAGTCTGTGCTCCTCACACAAGGCAATGGCCGCCTTGTTGTCAACGTACAGCACTGGAGGAGAACGAGGCCGCTCACCCAAGTCAGTCAGCAGGTAGGTGAGCCAGCGTAGCTCCTGTGCAGCCATGGCGGTGGCGTAGATCTCAGCCTCACAACTGGAGCCGAGAACAGAAGACGAGCGTGTAGACCGCCAAGAAACAGAGCCAGAGCCAAGGTTGAAGGTGTAACCCTGTGACGACCGCTGTGTAGTCTGGTCGTCAACCCAAGACGCGTCTGAGTGCCCAGTGGTGAGGTCGACTTGGAGTGGTCGTCGACTTGGGAGGTCGACGGGCATGCACAGGAGCATCTAGTCGTCCTGGTTGCCCGGTCGACCATGTTACCTGGGTGACGACGATCTGCGAAGGCACGCGAAGGTAGCCCAGACGAAGTTGGCGAGGACGACCTCGGTGGTGGTATCCCGAGGTCGACCTGGCAGATCAGATGCAGTCGTCAGCACGAGGTGGACTTGGTGTGTGCGCTGTGCAGGTGACGAAGCAGTGCACGCCAATCATCTACGAGCACCTGCGAAGCGGGTGCAATGCTGGACTGCAGGAGCAACGCAGGCACGCCGTCGACTTGCGCTGCTGTCACGCCGTCGACCTGCAGCGTTGGCAAGCCGCGACTCTGCACTGCTGGAGCGCGGTCGACCGTGCTGCGCTGGCAGTCGTTCTGCTTGCATGCTAGCTCTGATGTAGTCTTGCCTTGCCAACTTCATTGTACTATTGCTGTCAACTTTCTCTAGTAAAACTCTTGCAAAATTGCCTTGTGAACTAGCAAGCAGTGTGTGCACTAGGAGAACGACTAAGGACCAACGAACGCAGAGATCACACGAGCACCCGTGCCTAGCCCGTAGTCTAGCTCCCGTTGCTAAAGTTATCTCCGCATGGTGCGGTGAGCGTGGACGGCACAACGACTTACCTTTCAGTCTAGTCGACTTAGTAGGCACCTTACCTAAGTTGTTCGTAGGCCGGCAGCTGTGCGGTAGTCACTATGGTAGGCGCCGTAGGTGACACGGGGGTGGTGGACACCCTGGAGACACGGCTGGAGACCGCAAGGAGACGCCATGAGGCGAAGGAGTTCGGCGACATCCCTTGGGCGGTCGTCGACGCTGGCATCCGTTCTGTGTGGGCGACGGAGCACCCTCCTTCTCGGCCTGCATCTCCTCGACCGGTGAACGACGAAGGCGGCGTCGACGTGGGCGTCAACGCCGGGGCCGACCAAGTCGGCAGCTGTGCGGGAGGCACGTCGTCGAAGCAATGAAATCGGCGGCGTTCGGGTGCGAGGGATGCGGTCGTCGTCGGCTGCAGGGTCCTCGCAGGTTGACGTCGAAGGTTGGCGAAGTGGATCTTTGCCGATGTCGGCGACCCAGGTGACAGCAGGTGGGATTGCACCGAGCTACGGCTACTTCAAGTTTACGCCGGATAGGATCCTGGTGATTCTTTTGCTGGTTGGTCGACCCGACATTCTTACCTGGAAGGAAGCCATCGAGCCCCAGCTGGAGATGGCTGGGCTGATCAACTTTGCTCGTGGTGCCGTGGCGACGCCGAATGACCCCGACCTGCGTGCGGAATTTCGCGCCGTGCAGCTGCTGACCTTCACGGTCATCTCGCGGTGCTGCTCGCCGGGCGTGCAAATTTCCCTGAAGTCGTGCAGGGAGCACATCGACGCCGGCCACCGGGCGTGGCACTTCATCGAGTCGACTTACCAAGTCACCGACGACTTGTTCATCGCCCAGCTTGAAAGCAGCTGACGCACCTGCGTATGGGCGACCAGGAGACGGCGACGGACTACTGCAACCGAGCTCGGCGGATTCTCGCCACTATCAGGATGGCTGGCGCGGAGTATTTGACAGCGTCGTACGTCACCCATGTCATGCAGGGACTCCCGAGCAGCTACAACCTGCTGAAGCGGCTGTCGATGGCACCGAGCACGCGGGCGACGCTCAACGAGGACACGCTGACCTCGTACATCCTGCAGGACGAGGCGATGCAGGAGGCTGAGCGGTCCCAAGAGCTCTTGGCGCAGGTGAACTACGTCGCCCCGGCGAAGCAAGGCGGTCGACCAGGGCAGCGTGGACAGTCTGGTGGCGGTGGTAGCAGTGGCTCGAAGTGGACAAAGGAAGTCGACAAGAAGAAGTCGACCAAGGACAGCGGTCGAGGAGGAGGAAGTCGACGTCGAGAGTGCTGGCTGTGCGGCGACCCCGACCACCTCTCCTTCGAATGCCCGAACAGCGTGACTCCGACGACGACGACGCCAAGGGAGGCCGTGGGAGGTCTGGCAGTCGTCGTCCTCGTCGAGGAGGAAACCGACCGCGCAAGGAGAAGCAGTCGACCAAGTCGTCGACCTCGGCGAACGACGCCGACTCCTTTGCTGGCGGCGATGGGCGAGACGACAAGTCGGCGTCGTGCTCTCTGGTCGGCGTCGTGGAGCCGACCGTCTCGCTGGCGCCGGAGGCCGGCGAGGACTTCCAGGCGATGGCGGCAGCTGTGCAGGCGAACATAGACGTCCAGGGTCGTGGCACCGTCGCCCTGCAAGGGGAGGCCGGGAAGCAGGTTCTCATCCCCGACGTGCTGTACGTCCCGGGTGTGCGGGCGAACCTGTTGTCGTCCGGCCAGCTGAAGGAGCACGGCGTGAAGTTTCGGGAGGACGGCGACGGGATGCTGCTCGTCTCGGCAGCAGGAGAGGTGCTTGGTCGGGCGACGTACTCCGGGCGAGTCCTTTGCACCGACCTGCGTCCCTGCTCAACGAGGTCGCCGTCGCCCACGCCGGAGGTTGAGGCTCTGCGGGCGATCGTCTCCAAGACGAAGTCGACGCCGGACAGGATGCATGCTCGGCTTGCGCACGTCGGCCTGGATATCATTCGGAGCTCGGCGAAGAACGAGGTCGCCATTGGGCTGGACCTCAAGTCGGCGACGGGCGCCGACTCACCGTGTGTCTCGTGCGTCGGCGGGAAGCTGGCGCGGCACACCTTCCCCGACCAAGGCTCCGACGCCGACGACGTGCTGGCCGTCGTGCACATCGACTTGTGCGGGCCATTCCGGGTGGCTGCCAAGGATGGCAGCCTGTACTTCTTGCTGCTGAAGGACCGTAAGTCCCGCTACGTGTGGGTGAGGCCGGTCGCCAAGAAGTCGGACGTGCTGCTGGAGTTCCAGAAGTGGCTGGTGCTGGTGGAGAGGCAGACGAAGAAGTCGGTGCTGATGCTGCGCTCGGACCGAGGCGGGGAGTTCCTCGGGAAGACGTTCACCGACTTCGTGGACGGCAAGGGGATCGTCCACGACTTGACCTGCCCGTACACCCCGCAGTAGATTGGCATGGCGGAGCGGGAGATGCGGACGGTGGTGGAGTCGGTGCGGACGATGCTGCTGCACATGGGCGTGCAGCACCACTGGTGGCACCTTGCTCTGCGGCAGGCCGTCTGGATCGCAACTGCCTGGAGCGGTGGGCCACACCGGGGACGACGCCGTACCAGCTGCTGACTGGGACGAAGCCCGACTTGTCGCTGGTGCACGTGTGGGGCTGCATGGCGCAGTTCCTCGTCCCCGAGCAGCAGCGTGGTGGCAAGCTGAAGCCGAAGGCCAGGTGGGGCCTTCACTTCGGCATGTCGGAGGCGAGCAAGGGCTGGGAGCTCCTCGACATTGCCACCAACCGGGTGGTCACCACATCGGACGTGGTGTTCTACGAGGACATGTCGTTGGAGGAGTGGAAGTCGGCGCACGGGCCTGTGTCAGGGCGGACGCTGATGGCCACGCCGACGGATACCTCGACGGCAACTCTCCCTCTGCTCGCCG